ATCCGTGAATCAGAACTTGAGAAAGTATTATGCAGTAGCATCAAAACTGCTTCTGATATTGCTAATGAATATAAAGATCTCCAGAGTGTATATTTAAAACAAAAAGAGGATCTTGTGCTAGTTCAAGCTGATGCTAGTAAAAAGATTAGCTAGCTAAATGCATCCAATACTAGGCTTAGATCCTCTGAACGGTTACCCATACTGAAATCCAATCACTCAAATCTGAGATTAAAACACTAAAGAGAAAAGTGACCCTTACCCAGAAAGCATCTCTTGACAAGGACGAGATTCTTTATCTTAAAGGTGAAATAGATAAACTAAAAGCCGAAGTAGAAGAATTGGAATCAGAGATGGAATTAGAACACACATCTTATGATTCAGATACCACTTTATTTAGATATAAAATAAGTAAATTAAATTCCCTTAATCATATATTGAAGCAAGAACGGGATGATTTAAATTCAAAGAAACATAAATTGGAAGCCAAGGTAGGGTATAAGGATTCTGAAATCACCTCTCTTGGAGCTAAAGTAAATAAACTAGAAAGAGGTATATTATGTAGTTATGCTGTCTCAGGTCTAGAGTAAAAGAATTGGAAGATCAGTTAGAACAACAAATATCCCAGTCATCCTACAAACCAAATATAATAAGTGGAGCTGAAGCAAATTCAGACTCAGCTAAGAACTTTTTGGAAAAAGAGTCACTTTTTTAAGAAACTAATATTCATTTAGCAGAGCAGATTTCAGAAACATCTAGTGAGTTTAATGAAGTAATTGGAAGTGATAGCAGACCAAAGAAAGGTAATAAAATCACTAGCCCCAAAATAATCTCAGTATCACTCAATTCTTTCTTTCAGCAGAATGTGATCTTCATTATAATAATAATATTACTAATTATATACTTCCTATGCCGCATATCCTTATATATATATTCTTTTATTTCACTCCTCAATAAAGAAAAAAATATTCAAATTATAAAATACCCTTAAATAGAAATTATAGTTATAGATTTCCAATCTATTATGCAAAAAAACTGAAAAAAAGAATTACTCTCTATGAAACTTTAACTTATGGATATGGATGAGGCCACAAAGCATAAATCATCCTAAGTGAAAGGACATGAAGCATCACCTGACTGGCCCTTCACTATGCTAATCACTAGAAGAACTAGTACAGGTAAAACCAATATATTAACAAATCTTGTTCTCGGAAATAAGAGTGAGTATATATACAAAGGACAGAAATAAGGGGCCTGATATATTAGATATGATGATTTGATAGTATGTAGTTATCATCCAGATAAACCAAAATAGACATTTGTAAGATATATATATAGTATAATTTCAAAAGATCCAAAAGCGCCATATTATAAAAATATTCAGTTTAGTTATATTTCTTTTGAAAGGATTTTAAATGTAAAATCATTCTCACCAGAAAAGAGCACTGTTATTATTTTTGAGAACTTGTGCATTGCCTCAGAATATATACAAAATTAAATTATCTCTTTCTTTACTTATGAGCGTCATAGAAACATCTTACCTATTTACATAACACAACATTATCATAAAGTCCTATTATTATTCGTAAAAACATCTCCCATTTAGTAATGTTTAATGGGGGCGGTAGCCATCAAGATGTGTCCAAGATAGCTGGTTGTTATACTGATGATATAAAAAATGCATTGATAGTCATTAATAGCTACCTTCGAAAAGATGAATTTATTGTATTTGATCTAGATAGACCCGAGGATGATCCTCTTGCAATTCGGCTATGGTTTGACACTCCATTAAACCTGCAGAAAGAAATAGAGGCAAGGCAAAAGCGCATAGAAAAAAGTATCCAAGCTAATTTATAATACTTTAGTCTCGCAAGCTCAGAGATATAGAAATTAATTACTTTTGATACATTTATAACTGATAGTAGTTTGCATGCGATGAATCTCATTAACTATTTATTGTGAGAAGGCAAGATTTTTATTTCACATTGGCATCCAAGTTGCAACATCATGTGATTACTGCACTCTGGTAATATAGTGTCTTTTCTTGGCAAGTTCATGATTTCCTAATATTATTCTTGAGATCACAATACTGCTTTTCGCAATAATTGCTCAAAGTCAGAAATAAAGATATCTCCTTTTCAAGAAAAAAAAAATATGTTTATCTATTTTTGTGCCTTTGAGTAATTTATCACGAGAGGGTGCACTCAAAGCCAGAAAAATATTATACAAAAGAAGTACACATACCCCTGCCAACAATGAACCAACAAAGTGCAGTGAATTGGCGTGGAATAAAAATCTATGAAGTATATATTAACAATTATTTATATTTTTTTGTTTTTGAATACAAATTTGAATCATGATATTCCTTAATATAGGTTGATAAATAATCACTAAAAACACTATAAATTGCTAAAAAATGCTATAAATCAATAAAACACTGATTTGTTAATAAATATGACCAATCTAATTACAATCATTATTGATGAGGTTTATAATAAATCTGTACCCAAACCCATTAACCTTCGTCCAGGATATGATTTGGGTCATGTAATAAAGGATTTAGCAAAAGATAATAGTTATAACTATAATCGTGTTGAAAATATATGCAAACTAGAAAAAAAATATGATGATTTAGCTATTATTAGACCCCATGAAACACCTCAACCATGGGCTATTCATATAAAAGATAATTTGCAAGAATTATGTTCTAGAGAAAGGCCTAGTATCTTTCATGTATACTGCCTTTTTGGTTTATTTGGACAGGGAAACATTAGGATATATCTCAAAAATCACAAATCAAAAATAGAGCATATTAGCTATCGAAGACCTAAAGTTCATAAAAGTCAAATAGCTATATGCTTTAAATGCTGGCGATTGGTAAAGATTACTGAAGTAGAGCCAAAAAAGGTATATTAGGACAGATGGCATAAATGGGGTTATGAGATTAAATCGGAGAACTTGTTGCAAAATTATTGGGATAATGAATGCTTCAAAACTAAAATGCAAGATAGAAGTATACAGGTTATCTAAAATATTGTGCCAAACAAGTTTATGAAAATCAAAAGCTTTACACCTAGTTTAATTAATGAGCCACGTTTATTGACTCCTCCACCATTACTACCAAAGCCTTTTGCATTAATTGGCGGTCTCTTAAGATACTCATGTAAACATTGTGTAAATGCACCTAAGATTAAAAATCTTTGAAGTGATCAATCAAATATGCTTTTCATTTCTAGCAAGACTAGTTTGAACCATGTTGCTGATGCATATTTCAATTCTGCAAGAAAAAATGCAAAGGAGATAGACTTAATATCCTTCAATTAAATAATAGTATAAATTTATTTATCTTTATAATCTATTTACATATAATTATTGGTCATGTATTCGATTTTTTTAATAGTTGTCCACCATTTTTCTAATGCTATTCTTGAGATCACAATTGAGTAATATATTTCTTGTCTTCTTACAATACTTGCTCGAAGTTAACAGATTTTTAAAGATATTATTAACTATATATCTTTTTTCGAGCTTCAAGAAAAAATGTGAAATAAAATTTTCAAACTAAACTACATGTTTGAAGATAAAAATTTATTTAATGTATATTAAATATTTATAATACAATAAAAATATATTATATTTCTATAAATCTGGAAGCAGATCTTCTGCTCTTAACCTATGCCTAGCATATACCAAAGAAATATGACCCCTTTTACAATTTGTTGATGAAGGAAAAATTGTTATTTGTCTTTTTTTTGGTTTAAAAAACATAGTTCGGGAATTCAGTCCTTGAGCATTGTTAAGATTTTGATGTTTAATGAAAATAATATTATTCCCATTAGTATTTCTCTTAATCCTATCCTTCAAATCATTATATACCTTATTGAATTTTTGTGTATTATAAAAAAAGATATTATATACAAAGTATACAATACTATGACAAATACCTTTTGTAAGTGGGAAATTACCGTGAAGTAAAAACACGAGGAAAATGCTACAACTTGTCCAGGCCTAAGCGATACAACAATCTGAAGTTGGGGGAAACATAATTCCTCTCCCTCAAATTCTTTGAGGGCAACCAAACAGCATAAACTATTTGGTTCATCATGTTCATCCCAATGGTAATTGCTAGTTGTATTGTAATTAATAGCGATCATTGGAAAGATTTCTAAGAGTTAAGGTACAAAAGGTCTCCACACCAACTTCTCTAGTTTTTCATATAAATTTCTATAGAATTCTTGTACAAATTCATTAACAGAGATTGATAATGGGCCAAGGTTGCGAAGTAAAGTGTTAACACATTCTTAATATGTAATATTATAGAAGCTTGTGGTATTTGAACTAGTAAATAGGAGGAGTTTATTTCGAGTATATATACCAAAATGTTCTATGAAATTTTTTCAGAATTCATTACTATGGTAGGAGGGGTTATTTAGAATATGAAAATAATAATGGTTTATAGCATCTGTTGCTTGTATAACTGCTCTTGGATTATTTAGTAATGCCAAGTGTACTAAGGTTCTACCTTCTACATCTGTAACACACTCTGAAACAGTTAAATGACAAAGTTTTACTAATTTTTTAAATAAATAGAGATGTAAGTTTTTATTATCATGGTGAAGCGTAGTGCTAATTAAACATAGCGAAGGCTCTTAATAATATTACATACTCCTCTCCAAAATACTAGACGGATAACCGCGTGCTTGCATGTGGGTGTCCATCGTGGTCATTTTGGTAACTTAGAAAAAGCCGGAATAGAACGAAACAAACTGGAATGATCAACAACCTCGAAATTCTATTTATATAATGGTGGTTTTTGATCAGTTTTAATTCGAGCCAAAAGATCGACATTCAGCCCTATATCTTCGGAAAAACTTGTTTTTTTTACTATAATGCCAGAAAAACACTTATAATTTAGGTCAAAAGATCAACATTCAGCCCTGTAATTTTTTTATACCGATCATGTGGTGGTTTTTGAAAACCACCAAACGATCGACATTCTGGTTTCTTCTAACAAAAACTCTTATATCGAATTTTTTTTGTTCGACAATGTCGAATTACCCACTTTGGTCTATTCTGCAAAGTAAAACAATTTAATCTGTTTAAATTAGAAACCTAACAAATGATTCAGATCATAAAATTGAAACAATAAATGATAATTCTACATTCTTATACTTGATAATAAATATATATACACATTCTTAAGATTTATTTTATTAAATATTTATTTTTTATTGTTGAAAAATATCTTTTCCACACAAGGGATATTTAAAATTAATGGAGTCTGGGGCTTAACAATTATTACTGGTATTAATAAAAAAAGTAAAAATTAGCATAGATTTGATTTAATTTAAACTGGATGATTATCGACAAACTAAATCAAGAAATTAACTGCTACATTCCATCAAATTTAGATTCATTCTACCAAATTGATATTAATTGTAAAAATGAATCTGATTTCCTAAAAATGTAATTATTGAATTTCATATTAACATATGATAATATAATTTTTTTGCTTTATATGTAATTTTTCAATCTCATCTCGAGTACCAGTTAATAATACGGATTCATTTTAATGATGAAAACAATAAAAAAGAATCTCCAATCCCTTCTGAGATTAGGGGCATTGATAATACTATTTTTTCAGCACCTTTTACCATTCCTCCTTTTTCACGAAACAAATTCATTTTTAATTGATCATTTATATAGATATCAAGTTTATTATAATAATCAATGTATTTATCATATCTATTCTGAAAAAGAATTTGTTATTCATAATGATTGTAAACCTTTGCAATATTTTTATAACCCTTAAATATTAAATTTTAATTAAAATAAAATAAATTTTATTTATAAAATTAAAATTGTAATAATTGTTAAACCCCAGACTCCATTAATTTTAAATATCCCTTGTGTGGAAAAGATATTTTTCGACAAAAATAAATATTTGATAAATTGTCATTATAAAAAATTAAATAAAAGTAATACAGAATAATTGGCTTTATTAAATAAGTTATTATATGACTAGTATATTATATTTTTTTTCTGCTGCTTTTGAGTTTCAATGCCAATAATCTTTTTTGAATAATAAATTTAAATATAAAAATAATTATTCTTGCTTTATACATAATTTTTCAATCTCATCATTAGTACCAGTTAACAATACAAATTCATTTTTTGGAAATCTATAAATAAGAATTTTTTTTGCAAAATTCATTTGATAAATTTTAACACCTTTATATTTAATTATATAAATATGATAAAAATGAATTAAGAAGTCATTTGTGTTTGGCCATGGTTCACATTCTTCGATTTGGTCAGGAAAATCTTCGATAGTAATATTTTTAGGTATTTCAGTACCAGTATTGCTACTATCAGGATCTGTTAATTTTAAAAAGAAAAGTCTTGCAGTATTTTTATTTTTTCTTAGCGCAATGGTTTTAATCTTGAACCCAAATTATTAATATTTCAAAAAAATATAGAATTAAAGATATACATGCTAGGGATATGTATAAATCACATGAATTTGATAGAATTCCTTGTTTTATTTTATTAAATAATTTAAATGATTTTCAACTATGTATCAAAAATCAAGAAACGAAAGTGTGGGAAGCGATTTTTTGGTTTGATAAGATGGACACCTTTACTGTAAATCATAGTTCTGAGATTGTGGGTATTAATCGTAATGAGCATCTTGAGTTGTATTCGAGAATTAATAATAGTATTCAAAAAACGATTATTGATATAGAGACTCAAGAGCAACAGAAAAATGTGATATACTAGTCATGTAATAAAAGTCAATTATTCTTTATTACACTTATCGAATAATAATATTTATAATTTATACAGACTTTTTAATAATTAAAATTTAATTGAGTTTCTAAAGAATCATAATATCAAGGTTATGATAATTATATACATCATAATAGAATTTTTGTAATTTTCAAATTGTTAATAGCAAAATCATCACCAAAACGTTCAGCTCTGGCCAACCACATCATGTCCTTGCGAATCTTCTAATGCAAGAATCTGAATCTGATTCACTTTTTTGCACTCAAATGCTCAGCTCTGGCTAACCACATCGTGTTTTGTGACCACAAATATTTGGACAAAAAGGCTAAAAATTAGATTTAGATAGTCTGATATTCCATTCACAAGTTTATTCATAATTTACAATAAGCTATATAAAGAAAGATTCTTCTAAATTAAATAAGATAAAAAATGAATTTATTCAAAAATTTATATTCTTCACAAAGGTATTTTTAATATTAAAGTTATTTAAAAATATAATTATATTAATGACGAATTTTT